TGACTCAGCAGAACACAATCTTATTGGAATCAGCCATATTAGGCCATTTTAATAAAATTCTTCCATCTATAGCTACATATGTAACATAGTTCATTTCAGTCTGAGACATAAAAGCTCCAGAAAAGGAAACAATTTGTGGTGCAAATATGTCCACTCCACCAAATACTTCCTGTAGCGTACTTACATTTTGCTCCCTCTAAATGTGACAAAAAGCTGCATAAGGCTGGATGGTTCATTCTTCGAATCTATAGGCTGTTAAACTTGTTTAAATAAAGACTTTTCAGACATTGAAGGTTACATCTGAATGAATTCAGCTGAAGGCTGACTTGTCTTACAGATGCAGTAGCTCTCACTGGTTGTTTGGATGCAGTGCTGCCTCAGAGTCACATGATGGCACATGTGAGACATTTGTTCTGGTGGAGTGACATGACTGAGACCATATAAGCCCATTAGACCAGTCTGTATGGTTCTTATAACTCTTGGTTCCTAAAACTTCTTCACAAAATATAACTTTTGGACACTGGTAACATATTAGGCAATAATTTTTATTTTTAAAATGTTTTACAAAATAATTTAAACATAAAATAAAATTTTATTTAACATAAAAAATAATCAAAAATAATAGTTGTATCCCTGTATGGATACACTGACATGACCTTGGGAATAGTTTAAACCAAGAAACAAAGTTTACTCTTCATAGTGTTTCTAATAATTCTACCTAATTTCTGATAAGCAGGATTAACATGCTATGATTACAATAAGCACAAACAATAAACTCAACAGAAATCACTTTCAGGGTGAGCCGTTCCTTCTTGCCTCACCTTTATGAAAGCATAGCCTGCTCCGTTGTCAGTGATAGTGAGGCCCAGAGCATCTTCAGATTTATAAACTTCTACCTCCTTCTTGATCCCTTTAATGTGGGCAAAAATAAAATCCTCGAGGCCGATCTGGCCCCCCAGCAGCTTCTCCATGTCAATCTTGTGGGTGTTCAGGGTGCAGAAGAGGATCTGTACAAACGTATGCAGCAGACATATGCAGTACATTAACTACTATGTACAAAAAAAAAAGAACATTTTTGATGAGACTGGGCTAAATGAATGAATGGAATCATTTCTAAAAAGGCACAGAAAAATAAAGGACTAGTAGTCAAACTGTGAAGAATAGTCCACATCTTTTATACGCAGTCAAAAAAATGCAGTCCCGTTTTGAGTCACAGCTTGAAAACTGAGCTAGATGCAAAAATAAAAGCATAGATGAAAGAACGCTGTGTCAGTAAGCTAAATACAGGACTCATCAGGGATTTCTGCCTGATATGCAGTTATGCCCTCTCCCACCCCAAGGCGTCATCCATTTATGTCTGTGCGTTTCACCAGGCTGTGTTCTAAGTCCAGCGGCAGGCTCAGCATGTAATGAAGCCACTGGAGGAAATTACCCTTCCCCCAGTGCCAAAGTGTAAAAATCTGCCTTCACACCACGCCGTGCATACTGTATTCACTAATACCAAATGTGAATGTGATGTTATCTATCAATGCAGACACACCGGTGGTAGAGTTGGTGCTAATGTAGAGTAGGCTACGTCAGCCTAACCAAAACACAACGGAAACTCACAGGCTGGAAACGTGAATGAAGCCACTCACGTCAACTCATCACAACTTGGCCGTATTGTAATGTGAACATGCATCACTTTGCCATCACACACCGTCATACCGGCTGCTGCTCTGGTTCTGTTTTATAATGACATTGTGAGACAGCTTTTGCCTCAAGGAGAAATATCGTGACATTTTAATATTGCAAGATCTCGTCGCACGAGATCTTGTCACACCCCTAGCTTTGAGTAAGAGAGCCAGGAATTAGTGGCTGACTTCCAGGTTGCACAGCAGAAAGAGAATGATTCGTGCTGGTTCATCAGGAGGATGACCTTTGTCGCCAATCAGGCTCTGGCAGCAAGGCCTACATTGTTTTCACCCTTTTTTTTTGTGTACCAACAGGCGCTTTTCACACACACACTCTCTAGCTGACACAGCCTCGTGCGTTGCCTTGGGTTACCAGACAATAAAAGAATGGGATTATAGCAGAGGGGGGCCGCAAAGAGAGAACGTGAAAGGGAGTATGGATGATAGAAGAGGCAATGGAGGGGTGTAATGTAGCTGAATTGATGGCTCTCTTCCTTGCTTTTTTCATAACAGACCCCCAACCCTTGCCTCCTCCCACTCCAGGGTTTTACCCGAGAGCAAGCGGGTGGACCGGAGGCAGACGCCTACGCCCGGTTACCAAGGCTGCCGACCACATTAAGCTACTTCTCTGCACAGGCAGCTCTCAGCACTCCTCTCCTCCTGCTGGGCCGACAACGTGTTCACACCGCCGGGTGTAGCTAAATAGCAACTGCCTCTTTTCTGGCAAACTGAACAAGAACAGATACTACACCTCCCACTGCCTGCACTACACTGACCAAGATCTTGATACCCACATGGAAAAGGGCAAGTCAAAGGAGAGGGAGTGCAATCTGTTCAACATCACTCATAACAGAGCTTTTTACTGGCCAGTGCTTTCAAAAGACAAAGAAAAGCATGATGAGAGAATAAACTAAGAAAAGTTGGATTTAAAATATATTTATTTTCTAGTTTTGGAAACAGCAATAATTTTTTTATAACAAAAGTCTGGATCACACCACAACAAGGAAACAGTCAGAACAGGTGGAAACACTTCCTTGTTTTATATACAGTATCTGTAGATAGAATTTTTTTTACCTTTGGACAGTTGGCCAGACAACACAGACATCAGAGGACATCACCTATGACTGTGGATAACAGTCACCTATTTCTAAACTCTTGCCTATCCATAAAAAAAAAAATTTCACCTGGAATTCCACAAAACGACAGCATTGTACAATATTTTAATATTAGAGGTAATGAATTTTTTTCACTGTCCACCTACATATATTACTAGATCATTTCTCCCATGCGTGCTAGAAGAAAAGGAAAAGCCTTTAATAGGATCTCTCTGTGAACTATACCCTGCATTCAAAGAGTCATGACTAAAAGCTTGGGTAACCTGTTTCTTTAGCAACTGAGCCGTGGTTCATTCACAGCCACTTTAGCAGATCCTTTGAAAGACAGAAGAGGGTGAGAAACATTGAACTATATTACACAGCGGAATAATGTTTTTCCCCATTTCCTGTCTTCGTCTGCTGTTATTTCTGTGTTGGGTTTTTTTTTTTTTTTTTTTTTTTTAGGCGTTAACAGGGAATGCTGACGTAAGCCAAGTGTATTCTGGTGTGGCTGTTTTCAACAGAAAAGTGCATTCATCAGCTTTTAAGCCAGTGTAATCATCTACCTGAATGTGGACGACATTCTTCACAGTGACAGAGGGGTGTTAATAAAGGTCGCTCAGAAAAGCAGAGTTTATTGTAAAAAGCCTGTATTAATATGCAAACTTAATATAGTAAATGAAGAATAAAATACTGGAACGAAAGCAAACAAAACCAGGGTTACCATCAGTTTGGCTTTTTGAGATGAAGAGCATTAAAAGCAGCCAAAGGACTGATGAGATTCAGATGGAAATACTGCTTATATGGCTTCAGACCACCTGTCTACTAACTACTCCTTTTGTGTTTTCAATAGTCTGATTCTTTCATCTTGTTTAATAGGACGTCTGAATTACAAAAATGCCACTATCTACAGTCAGCCACAAAGCTTTATTTAAATGGCAGTACATTTAAAAGCACAAACTATATGTTGACTAAAATACTGTGCACATATTTTAGACTGAACATGATACCTGCTAAAAATTTTAGGTACATAATAAGTACAGGTTAAGCCAAGTACATAAGTATAGGTCTAGCTTATGTCAGAATGTAAAAAATATCTGCACTGCACGTTGACTCATGATCACAGTAAAGCAGTACCAAGAGAACTGGAAGAAAACTGTGTTTTATTCTGGTAGGCTGATTGTAACACTAATTTAACACCAGTTTAGCTGAACTACACCTGAATACCTGCACTTCCATGGTTTAAATCTCCTGAAGCATAGATTTTATTTAAAAAAAAAGGCTTATTTTACTAATGTAAGCCTGGTTTAACTGGTAGATTTGCTTTCTAAAACACATTCTGGAAACACTAAGAAGCTACATGTTAGTCAATGTGTTTAAACTTAGTTTTAATAAAGAAACCGTGGGTTTTATTTTTCCACAACAAAGCCAAAAAAGCAGCAGCTCTGAGCACTGGGGAAAATTAATTATTACTATTAAGGCAGGCAGAGGGCAGTTTAGAGTTAAGACTCCTCTGATACATCACCACACCCGTCCCAGACATGTGGTAACAGATTAGTTTTCTCTTTCTGTCCACATGGATCCTCAGAGATACCGATAGAAACCTGGACTCACTTTTGGAAACCTGTTGCTCTGGAGGCTGCAGTGCTGCTGCGAGGACACTTTCCCTTGCATCACTGCTGGTGAACAAACACTTGAATCACTACAAAACCAGATCCAGTCCAGTCACTGGTAAACACACAGACACACACACCTGAGGTCTGTTGCTGCTGCTGCTTCTTCTCACACTCCTCGTTAGCATCACTTTGTTGTCTTGGGCGTGTGGTTACACAGAGGCACACAGGAATAGTTCATGCTCATTTGTTTGTCACATGTGTAATGAAACACAATTAGCAGTAACCACATGTTCACTGGAATCATGATGCAGCAAAATTTCAGAACGTGTTATTAGGGGCCAACACAATATAACTGGGTTGATTTAACACACAAGAAAACGATGGTGTCAACTGTGGAAAAACATTAAGATTACAGCGAAGAATCATGATTTGGCAAAGCCATTATATTGAGAGCTGTTCCTAATGTTTTGTCCACCCCACTTACAAAGAGGAAGGGTGCAGAATCTTAGAAGCACATTTCACTAACTATAACCTCAGCAATAAGCTTTTTAAAAAAAACTGGCCATTATAAGCTTCACAAAGAAAGACCAGGTGGCAGAGCTGTTGCATTATGTTGTATATGTTTACCTAATACAGTGGCCAGGGAGTGCAGATTGTTATCACAAAGATACTATGAATACTGTGATACTGATTTCAGTTGTACTGCTCTGCATCAGAAATGATGTGTCCTGAACACAGTCCTCTGGCTGAAGTGTTTGTCACACTGAACTGGCTGTTCCAGACCTGAGCACACAATGGACTTGGGGCCCTGAAAGTCAGTCCCTCATGTTCTTGTCCTGATGAATTCGAGACCTTAACAGTCTGTACATTCATGAAAAAAAAAAAGACTCCAAGAATCAAGGCAAACATTTTCATCTAAACTACTGTATGTGATATAGACAACTAAGCACCCTGAACTGTAGTTCATCTTCATGCTTTCTTGGATTTTATAACAACTAGGAAGCGAAGGCAGACACCCAACTAATACAAACAGCAGACTCAAGCTCCATCAAATGAGACTGTTTCACCTTGTCCCCCAATTAAGAAATGTCTGGTTGCAAACATGGAAGCACGACAACCTGGAAAACAAAACCCAAGATGTGTGGTTCTGTCACACGACTGCAGCCGAGATATTCAAACTCTAAGCAAATGACTGTGTGCTTTCTGGTGAGTGCGCTCACTGCAACAAATGGACAAGACCGAAGTCACAGCGCCACACCTACACAGCTGTAGCGACAATAACTAGACTTTGACCTGAGCAGAAAGAGCACATGATACAACACATTCTTTATCTAAAAACTCTAACATTTCATGTATACTCTTGCTAAAATGCATAGAGTGGACTGACATTATATAATATATGCGAGTCTACAGTACACTCTTCAGTAAGATGATGCCAGACAGATTACTTTCCATCAGTTCTGCTTCCTAAATAAAGTGACTGACTATGAACTTTGCTGTAACTTAAAGATACTCTACCTAATTTCTTCGGCGGCCACAAGATCAACTGAGACTCAAACACAAACTGACACCATGAGCTGCTCCTAAACACAATCACGCCCTGTTTCCTAGCAACAATGTGAACTACGGATGCCTGGTTGCAACAAAATGCAGCCTCCAGTCTGAAGCTAGCATTAGCTGATTCTCAAGTAAATTTGTCAATCCAGTAGGAAGCTCTGGTTACTGCTAATATGACACAAAGCACTAATGTTACATGAAGCTCGAATTACTCCCAAATTAAAATCATATTAATTCAACATAAAGGTAAAATCATGACCATGTTATCAAAACCAACAGTATTAGCTAACACATCCAGAAGAACGCCACATCTGAATCAAATCAGTTCTTTAGCTGCTTTTAACTTGGGCTTTGGGGAAAAAGTGATGGCATTTTCTTATAGAACAGATGATTGAGTAATAATTGTTAGTTGCCACTGGGTAGTGTTTCATATTTTTGGCCCTATGTTTCAGAAGTAGTAAGCTATGGAACTAAGATATAAACTTTAATTCCTACAGGGTCTCATTTTAAATAAGGTCGGGTGCTATTTAGATATTTTAAAGATACAATCAAGGTAAAATTATTGATTCAGCTAAAACAGATGTTGTGGTTTATGTCAGAATTATTGTGAGCTCAATTTATTTTCACAGCCTGGAGGCAGTTCTTACTTGGAAATGATTGAAACATTTTCTCTCAGACTTTTTACACAGCTGTGCTTCTTGTTAACTGAACTCTAACAGTTTAAGAATTTGATTAAATCCAATAATGCTTTATTTTGTTTGCCTTGCCTCAATAACAATGGACCCAGCTGTGCAGAGCGAACGCCTACACTTGGCTAAAATGTCTCCTGTGAAAACACAACTCATTTAACACCCATCAAGCAACCACCGCACTTTCTTGTGCAGCACACTCGGGTAAACTGGAGGACAAAACAGTTGCACAGAAACCATGACTGTGGTTGTTTGTAGCTCTATGACGCTGAGGTTACACAAAACTTGGCTGGGACTGATATGAATTATGTAATGAACAATGGTGTTGTCTTCCTTGTGCTCGTTGCCTCTGATAGGTTACACGTTTCTTTCCAGACAGACTTCACACTGCACTAAAGCATGTCTGGTTTCACTGTGAGCATCTATTGTTGTGCTTTCATTAGGCAGTCGATCTTAAAGGTGCATTAACTACGATTTCACACATTGATAAATCAAGTGAAAATGGGACAGGACGTGGTGTCTCTCAGCTATACTTCCCCCTCCATGATACTCTGCTGCCTACAGCACTCCTGTTGTTATTCCAGCTTCTCCACCTTGTGTTGTCAAAGTACTGTCTATAAATAAACACCACCTGAAGTGAAAGTTATAAGAAGTATATATTGGAACAGTGAGTAGTCATTTCACACATCTGGCTATAGAGGAGCTCTTGGTGCTAAAAGTCTGAAATAGTGGTTGCCTGACCGCAGAGCTCGCCTTCTTTTGCAAGGAGAGAGTGGGACAAAGAAAGAGCAAAAAAAAAAAAAAACACAGGGTTAACGACAGTTTGGTTTTGGAGATGAGGTGCCTGTTTTGTCTGATCAACAATCCAAAATCTAAAGAAAATTCATCTCCAATGATGACAAATAGATAAAAGAAGCAAATCCTCCAACTGAAAAAGCTGAAACCTGGGAATAAGTGGCAGTTTTACTTAGAAAATGACTTCATCAAATAATTATTACCAAAATAGCTGCTGATAATGTTTCTGTCTAATCTGCAGTTTTACAAGTATCCGCAAAATTAAACCCTTGACTAGTTGTAGTTGTTGTTATAAGTGTTTTAGAGAGGTGCTGATTAAAATGTACAGGCATTAGAAGATATGAAGTTGAACTGTATACCACTAATAAAGTATTAGGAACAACTCTGAGTATAATAATGAAGAAAAGTATAAAAACATCACACAAACACAAAACCTAGGTATCATAAAGTACTGACACCAGCCCCCAGCTTTACTTTAAGACTTCCTACTTTATCCCTGAAAAGCTGAGATTTGTTGGGAAATAAGGCTTTCAATGACCACATTGGCATTTTTTTTGTGATGCCTGACACAGGTCACGTTCAGTCAACATAGACACCACAGTGATGGCGTTTATGGAGGGAGGAACTACTCTCCTGGGTGCTCCGGGACACCTCTGGCTGTGCCTGAGGCAAGTTATGTGCTTAGATTTGAGGCTGTGCCCACGGAGCCGGACGCGTGGGATTTCCTGTGGCTAAAACTGCAGAGCCCGGTTACTAACACTATTACATCAAACTCCCAACCTCTGTCTGTCTTTGTCTCTGTGTAACTATCTGTGGCACATTTCTGAACAGGCCAGCCTACTCAGAGACAAAGATACCTTCTGCATCTACTCTACACCAAAGAATTCCAATGTGATACTAACTGCTCAACAAAACAACCTGAGATATTGATATTTGCATCATTATTTTTTTCCCAGCAAGCACTGAGGCATTACTTATTCAGGCAGCAATTTATTTTGTCTCAATTCAACCAACATAAGCACGATTCTCTGCTGATCCCTGTACCGTAGTTTTTCTCGTCTCCCTAAATGCACTAAGGCAGTTTCTGTATTAAAACAATTCCAGACAGAGACAGAATGTTGATAGATGTGATGGAAGAGTACCTGCAGAAAAATGGCTGGTGTCCTATTCTCACTGAGGATACATTTCTGCCATCAAGAGAAGCAGTTCTCCACTTATCAAATGTACATAGCTGTGTGCGTCACCGTGTTCAAACGACACCGAGACAAATTCCTTTCCACTTACTGAAAGAAGCAACTGTATCTCTTTGTTTCAAGAGAGGAAGGAGGTTCACATCTCCAGCAGCACATCAGGCTGATAACAGGACATCACTGCAGCCTATCCAGTCATATTCAGGCTGACAAAAGCCAAACATGTCACTCACACTTTCTTTTGAAAAGAGGAGCTCAAGTCCGAGCTCAGACGAAGATGCTGAATCCACTTTTGTTTTCAAGACTTCCATGTAGTCATGCACCTGCTGCTCTTGCTTCTGACATGAATTTGTCAGATATCCAGTGACTGCATAATGACGATAAGAAGCAAGACATTTCTCAGTCATGTAGGGTTGAAGGTGTACAGGCTGGCAGAGACCTGGCAGGGTGTGCCTTTACGAACACTGACTAGCTCTGACATGAGACAATCAAAGATGACAAAACTATTTACACAAACTTTCACATCAAGTATCAATCCTTCAGTGGTGGATGAAGTATTCAGTTCTCTCTCTACTTAAGTAAAAGTAACAATATCACAGCATACAAACACTCCATTATGACAACAGGTCTTGCATTTTAAAATGTACTTTAAGTATTACCAGGAAAATGTATTAAAATGAGAGTACTTAATCGGCCGACCTAACCTGCCGCTCAACATTCACAGCTCCCAACCCCGATTCTCTTTCCTGCAGGTGGTGGGTCCACAGGGCGGTGGCCCCATGTCACTTCTTCAGGCTGTGCCCAACCAGACCCCATGAGCCAAGACCAGATAAAACCTAAAGCCGTTGAGTTAATCATAAAACACAGCGGAAACTAGAAAATAAAAGATTTCCGTCTCACAAATGATTGATATGCATCATTTCAGCTGCCTCGATTGTGACTGTGTGTCTGTTTCACATATAACTAAGAATGTTTTACAGTGTTTCACAGGCATGTATTTGCACAACTGCTTACTTATTTCCTAAAGGGCCCCTCATTTTAGTGCATTCTTCCAAAAAAAAAAAAAACATTTTATAGTGGGCTGAGCACCTAAACTGTTGCGAAAAGGTGGGTCCACTGTATGTCACATCATCCTACATCGTAATCTTGTGTGTGCCTATCAGTTAATATGACTGCATGCAGTTCAGACTCGTATCCTGTTAAAAGTAAATGTTACTAGTTTGACTTGCTAACATTATGGGTACTTGTTCAGACATGAAGCAGACACAATCAGGTCCGTTAGATTAATGTAAAGGAGTGTAGTTCTATATAGAGTGGTGGTCAACAAGGGCCCAAAACAAATCTCTGCCCTGGGGCTCCTGAAAAGGTTAATGCGCCAATGACCACTGGTAACATTACTAGGTAACATTAGCCTAAACAAGTCTAGTTAAACACTTCCCGTACTGTGAGTAAAAGTGAGCTTTAAGCCCTGTACGACACTAAATCACATGACCTTTTATCCCCTTCAACTACAGGTGAGCTCTTACCTCAGGTGCGCTTATATTAAACGCGTGTGCTATTTTCGCGTACAGCTCCTTGACGTTAGTGAACCCCTCGATCCTGCCGGTGGGGCTTCCGTGTGCCAGCTGCGTGTGAAACACCAGCCTGGGCCGCAGGTTGGCAGGTGGAGGCGGGAGCCCCGCTCCGTTCACGGCGGATTTATTCTGGCTGCCAGCACCTGCGTGTCCGCCGCTGACCTCCTCGTTTTCCACCAAATTCTCCTTGGTCGACTTGTTTTTCTTCCTCCATGGTCCCAAAGGCATTTTTGATGTCTCCGTTTGTTTTTCGACGTGTAAAAACAACAGGTCCGATCCGCTGCTGTAACACTGAAGTACCTGTTGGGTTCCGATCCCAACAGTCGTGGTTGTCCTTATTTACTTCCTTCTTTCCTTCTACCTTTTCACGGTTTCTTCCTTACCTTCCGCCAACTCTTTTCCCTTCCTCACCTGCCCACAGCCCAGACTTTGTTCTTCGATGGTGACTCGGCCCTCACTTGAAAAAAATGAGCGTTAATATTCAACAGATAACGTCAGGTGCTTGGTAAACTCTGACACAACCTCCTGGCTGCTCCCCTGCTAACAATAGCTACTCTGTTTGTTTCTCAGCGTGCCGCGGGACGCAGGCGCAGTGGGACGCGCCCGGGCTCCACAAGGGAGAGCAGCCCCCGGGCTCCGGCGCAAAGGGTCCAGACGTGGACGCACAGGGGCCTGCACCTTAAAACAATTATTCAGACATTTTATTAAGAACATGCTGAACGTTATTATAAGTTAAAGTAAAGTTGAAGTTACATCAGTGGTGGAAGAAGTACTCTTAGAATGGTTAAAATACTTGTATGCACCGTTTTCGCATGAAAATTAAGAATTGCCAAGTTGCATCAGTTTAAATAGAGTACATCCGATATAGTGATTGCCGCCAGGCTTGTAAAGTAACACTGAGCAGGAGCTGGCCTGTTTACTCTCCACCCTTCCTGGATAATAGTGACTCATCATTTGCACAAATCTTTGATACATGTTGATGTACATGTAAGAGCAAATAACCTGAATGACATGTAGAAAGACAGCTAGATAGACAGACATCAACCCATAGGGGTGTTAATAAATAATATAAAAATATTATACTTGTCTGGAATAGTAAATTAAAATGGATGTTGCATGCATTACCCATCATCATATGGTTTTACTGAAGCCCAAACACTAAGAAATACCATTTTAATGCCACACTTTCTGCTGTCAATGTGAAAACTAATAAGTAGAGATGTCAGCTGTGAAGTGTTCCTCTCTGATTTGGACCCTCCTCTCTGTGGGCCCATGGCCTTGATGAGTGATGTGGCGTCCCCTGGTGGGAAAATGTAATGGCCTCTATGTTGGCAGGTGATGCAGCAGCAGCTGCTACCAGACAGCTATATTTATACATTCATAGTTCTGCCATTAGTAAACTTTAAGCCTTGAATTCAGTCATTATATTTTTAATATTGATCTTTGCACAAAAATATTTACCATAGAAGTTTTACAACAACAAAATATTCACATTTGAATACTGTCTTTCTGAAGAGCCATTTAATTTCCTGGTGCTGCACAGAACCCATTTTGAGTAATATTGCTATGTAGGGTTACTATAAATAGGCCTCAGCAGTATTAGTCTGATTAGTGTTAATACAGTGTTTATTTCATGGGGGTGGGTTCACTGACTGTCTCTCCATGACTGAAACAGCTCAAGATCAGTCTGTGTGGAAATATTTATTTTAAAATTCAAGTCTAAGATCTTCACAAATGTCTGATATGCACACATGCTAAACCAGCTGAATTCATTCTGTCCATTTTCTCTTGAATAACCTGTACACAACTTTTAAGACTCTCTCCAAATGCAAGCTTGTATGTCTTCATGACAAAATAAACATGAATAACAGTTAAATAATTTCAGTAATGAAGTGTGTCAAATATAAACAAGAGCATGAAAGTGTAATGTTTGGCACTGAAGTTATCCCTGGATCACTGGGACTTTTTTGGCAACTGCAGACTCATTCACAGCCAAATATTTTCAACAAGCAAAAAAATAAAGTAAGTGTGGCAAAGATCCACATATATAAAATGTGTACTTTCTATCAACAACCCAAACAGTCTGTCGCTTGTTCTTGTATCAACTTGGCAGCATGCATGGTATTTATAAAAATGCCAAATAGCTCAAAAATAGATATTGCACATTTGTCAGGGGATCCACCTGTGAGCTGTCAGAACTATCCTTGCATGTGTGTGTTTGGTACCCAGGGTGAGCGCTGTCATGCCGTTATCTCCCCTCTTTTAGTCTGCGTCCTTCATGCTAAGCAGGTAAATGTCGTTTCAGAACATCCTTGGCGTTGCCAGGCAACGTCTCAGGAAAGTTCACGTCAAACTCCACCACCAGATCTCCTCTCTGCTCTGGGTTTTTGGGTAACGGGAGACCCTGCCCGGCAACAGTCTTTCTCATGCCAGGTTTAATGACATCTGTGATCTTCATGTTGCACGTCTTCCCATCTATCGTTGACACGGTAACCGAGCAGCCGCACAACGACTGCAAAGACAGGAATATGGATGTACAGTAAGAGTGAGGAACAGCAACCCACACATGATTTACTGCAGATCTACTGAGACTTATGCAAAAATATGTACAGATGAGTGACAAATGAAAGGAAAAACCAACCAAGTGTCTCATTAAGGTGCTGGGCCACCACGTGCCACCAGAACAGCTTCAGTGCATCTTGGCATTGACTCTACAAGTCTCTGAACTCTACTGGAGGGATGAACACCATTCTACTCACCAGAACAGGTGGTCGTATGGGATATGGAGGGAAAGACAACCCCTGTCCCTGTTCAAGGACAAGCTTTGAATGTGAACAAGCTCCTTGTTTTCTTAATCCTCCTTTCCTGTCTATCTGATGATGATCCTGAGATACTGGGGCAAACCCTGGAGAAAGCTAGTAAGTGGTCTTGCAAAAGTCATGAATGACCTTTTATATTGATAAAATGTTCACTTAGCTGTATGTCTTAGCACAAAAGACTTTTCCTATTTGGCTGGCACTTTCTAATTCCTGTCACACAAGAAAGTGAGCCTTGTGATTGAAAACATTTATCTTAAACTGCCGTTTAATCTTATGATTTCTCAGTGTGATTCATGTCATGGAGAGCTGATCTGCGTTTATTTGCATCAAGCAGTCAGATATTCAGAGACGAAGTAGTGACATCCATCTCTGAGCACTGAGGTGAGTAGGAGGAACCATATAAGTGCATCTTGCACTGAGTGAGTGTGGGTGGCCGCCTCCTCTGTGCCCTCCCTGTGATACCACTCCTATTTCTCAGTGTTGATGAGCCAGATTACCTAAATGCGCATCCAAAGTGTGTGTGTAGTTCAGTACTATGCTCATTCAGTGCCTGTACTTTTGAAGCACACTGATTACAGTGCATTGATTGTGACCCGGTTTTTCAGTGCTTTAAAGCAGCACTCTCATCTAAATGTGACCATGTTCCGAATCTCCCTGTGTGTGTGACTAATTCATCTATCAGACTCTATTAAGGCTGCTACACTCATTCAAAGTGGGCCCCGAAATACAAAATGTCTCACCTGTCGTAAGCTCACGCGAACAGGATACACAATGTTGGAGCCTTCCCGCCTAAAGTGAGGGTGTGGTTTGT